ATTCAAAACAAACAAGAGAACAACAGATGTAGCCAGGTCAGGTCCAGAGGTGAGGGGGCACCCATTATGGCCCTGAATTATTATGCTAATTAGACCCCACACTCATTACAGGTCAATAGACCTAACTAACTAAGAGAAACTGTAAACAAGTAGGTGTGTTAGTTTCAGAGTAGTTCGTTAGCTCCTTCCTGCAGACAGATATAAGGAAGTGACCACCAGCGTCTGACCAGAACTGAAGAAGCAGCTTGGATGAGCTGTGAAACATCTTCAACCAAACTAACTTTGGTCCAGTCGACAAACAGAATTTTCTCCTCAACATTCTTAGATGTGTTTGAATGGTCTTGAGACTGACTGGCTGACATGCTGAGCAGTTTTTTAACATTTAAAAATTTTATCTTAATTTTTTTACTTAACATTTAGGGATTTTGCCAAATTCCAGCATGCGCAGTTCAAAGTACATTCATAATCTCAGATAAACTTTGGTGTCATTTATTTTGCAGTGTTTTCATCTTTCCCATTAGAGTTTGTAAATCATAAATTTATTTTGTTTTTGGAACCAGCCTCAGAGCAGTCTGACCTGCAGGTTGGTATCGAGGGTTGAGGACAGCAGGAAGACAAAATCTCAGAGCTTCATCGGCCTGCACATCCAGCTCAGTGACATACTCCAGCCTGATGGAGGCGCTCTCTCCAGGGGACAGACTGCCAACACTCATAGAGAATATATCTGGACTCTGGTCGCTCTCCTCCAATAGAAAGGCCTGTTGACCGGAGCTCAGTGCATCATCATACTCCTCACGAGCCTGGAACAAGTAGTGTTGAAAATGAATGTTGGAAATGAGTTAGATTATTTTACAGTTACTTTACATGTTGAATGCAAAGGTCAGGAAACCATGTTTCTTTTGGCTCCATAGACTCTCTAAGATTGGCTCCTGCTGTAGTAGTTTCACGTGGCTAGGCTTTGTCAGCCTAGTTAATTAAAGTAATTTAGAACCAAAATAATAACTACAATAATAACACATTTTTAATTAGTTAAAAAGAAATAATGACTACATTGCTGTTCCTATCATAAAGACCTACAAGTTCTTGGTGATGAAGCAGTAACCTGTTTTGTTCACAGCACTGCATGATACATTACTTGTCAGAACTGTTTGCCTGTTGTGTTTCACATGCACCTTCATTTCTTTTGGACGTACCTGTTTCTTCTCTTTCACCTCAGCCACGATAAGAGTCTCTCCAACTTTAGCACTGAAATGGCAGACGGCTGCTTCACTGGGCATGGGAAAAACAAACACCGCCTCGATGGGTTTCTCCTCTTTGTTTTTGTAGAGCAGTGTTGACACCACTGTGGCGACATGGTCCTTCACATCCACCTGAACATCCACACTCTGCAGAGGCACTGACACAAAACAACACAACTGACATTAGGACATGTTCAAAGCCAGGCTATGTCCAAGTGACTCTCACTTTTAATGTTAGGTTATTTGATTACTACAGTTTTTGTAGATATTACATTTAGGCCTGTCACTGCAAGGGCTGTGGTTGATGAATTAAATAAGAATCCCGAGAAACTATCCCATGATCCCAAGAAATCATCACCTGAACCCTTAAAAATTGGGCGTCCGGGTTTTTTTTTTTTTTTTTTTTTTTTTTGAAGAGATGCAAATGTCCGGGTTTTCAGCACTGTTCATTTTGGGGGCATTAAACTGAGCGTCTCTCGTAGCGTCTGTGACTCAGAAGGAGCGAGACACAAAACAGTCGGTCAGTCTGCAACATACCGAAGCACAAATGCGCATTTAACAATGACTTGTACAAGAACTTCTCCGTTTTCCCGTCCCGGTCGGGACAAGTGGGAGGCCATGTGCAGAGGTTGTGAGGTGAGAGGACAGTGTCCCTCGTTTATCGTGGGGTTAAGTTCTAAAAATAACCTGCGATAGGTGAAATCCACGAAGTAGTCAACTTTATACAATTATTCTATCTGTGTTAAGGCTGTAAAACCCCTCAGTACACACTTTATACACTTTTCTCAGACTGGACAGGTGCAACCCTTTTTACTTCCTGCTTTAAACTTATTCCTGCTGTGGTCATGTTATTTTCCTCCTTCTTTATGTAACGAACTGAAGATTCATTTATTTCGTAATGGAGCCCAACAGAGCAGCGTCCTGCACGGTTAATTTTTGGAGACCCCTGAACTACGGGACCACACCTGCCCATTAACCCGAGATTATATCAAACATTTGCGCTGCCTACGCCACAGACTGAACCAAGACTAAACCAGGACTAACCCAGGACTGATTCCAGGACTGAAGAGGAGGACTAATCCACGACTGAACGAGGACTAAAACAGGACTAAACCAGGACTAACTCAGCTCCGTACCTCACGGAGTTAAACGCGGCAATTGCCCGATCGCGCTTTGCGGACAAACTGCTCTGCATTCTCTCTCTTAAATCCAAGATTAGTCCTGGTTTAAACCTGGTTTAGTCCTGACCCACCCGTGTGTAATTACTACCCGCCTGTAATACACAATACGGTTCATACGATGTAAAAAAAACAAAAACAAACAAACAAACAAACAAAAAAACAAGGTGTCCGGGCCGCGAAGAAACGCCCATTTATGTTTCACAGACCGACAATGTTGGGCGCGTGTGGGGAGAAGAAGACGAATGCTTGGGCACACCGTGCACTGGGTGATCAAAGCAGGGCCAACAATCACAATGCCCCTGCACAGTTGGCCACCGCCAGCCGTTCCTATGACGCCACAGCACAGGAGAGTTTGTATGACCGTGAGTCATTGAGACTGTGCAGGGCAACTGTACAAAGTTTAAGATGCACATTAAATGTATTAAATTTGGAACACAGTCGGTACTTGGGCATTTTATACTCTCCCAAGAACAGAGAGGTTTAGACCGTGATGAAGTTAGTTTCACGTCAGACGTTAGATATTCAGTGACGCGTCAACAGCGGAGATGTTCATTGCCTGTGCGCCGCTTGCTCCATCACGGTGCGGGGAACTGTACACCAAAGCTCCGCTGAGTCCGCGGGTTAGGGACCGTCAATAAATTACCATTGCATTGAATGGAGTCTGCTAAAATATATATATAAAGAAATAAAAAGGGGATTGATAAAAAATAAAAAAGGGATTTATGAAACATTTGTTATTTTTATGTATTTTGAGGGTTAATTAGTTAATACATTTTTTAAATATCTTCCAGGTCAATTAATCTAAAAACACCAAACCAAGTTGTTATAGTAGTCCTACTCCGCATGTATCACGCACACCTTCTGGTTTTCCGAATGAACCCTTTGTGGAATTTTTAGGAATTTTTCCCTTAAAAATCTGTCATTTGTTTTCAATAGCTTCTAAGGCAGATGACCTACCAACTCCAAACCAAGTTATTATAGTAGTCCTCCTCCTCAGGTATCACGCACACCTTTTGGTTTTCCAAATTAACCCTTTGTGGGATTTTTTGGAATTTTTTTTCCTTGGAAATCTGTGATTTTTTTTTCAATAGCTTCTAAGGTAGATGACCTACCAACTCCAAACTAAAAATCCCACAAAGGGTTAATTTGGAAAACCAAAAGGTGTGCGTGATACCTGAGGAGTTGGACTACTATAATAACTTGGTTTGGCATTTTTAGATTGATTGACCTGGAAGATATTGAAAAAATGCATTAACTAATTAACCCTCAAAATACACATAAAAATAACAAATATTTTATAAAACATACATGCACAATCCCTTTTTTGTTTCTTTTTATTTGATTCCCTTTTTTCTTATTTAATTTATTTTATTATTATTATTATTTTTTAGCAGACTCCATTCAATGCAATGGTAATTTATTGGCGGTCCCTAACCCGCGGACTCAGCGGAGCTTTGGTGTACAGTTCCCCGCACCGTGATGGAGCAAGCGGGGCACAGGCAATGAACATCTCCGCTGTTGATGCGTAACTGAATATCTAACGTCTGACGTAAAACTAACTTCACCACGATGAGGTTTAGGAAAAACAGAAGCATAGGAACAGACAAACTAGCGATGAGGATTCTTTTGCCAATAGCACCCTGGTTGCTCGGGATTTTCTCTACCAGTCTAATGTACAAATGCTCCAATTTTTCCCCTTGTTGCCAGTATTTAATGTTTATACCTAACTGAACAATCCTTTCACTAATCAGACACAAAATAGTGACTAATTTATCCTTGTATTTTTACTTGGACTGTACGAGTGTAAACTATTTCCAGTGAGTCATACCTGCTTGCTTCTCAGGCGTAATCAATCCACAGCAACACCTCTCCATTTTCGCTTTATTTTACTTAGTGTTGAGAAACCTGTAAAACAGATATAAAGATATTTTGAATGGAGTCTTGCAGTAATCCGTGTAGCATCAGTAAAAGCTCAGTTTTGTCTTTCAGTGCTGTTTTGTTTTGGACTAACATTAAAAAGGCTACAAAAATAAAATGTGAGTAGTAAATAGATAGTTTGGATAAAATAGCGACAGCGGTTGAGGATTAAAACATGAAGAACAATACAAGAAAACACTACGTTATGGTCCCACCTCTGACAGAAATACAGCTGCTCTGATGGTTTACTGCAGGCTTCATGAAATCAGAGCCCGATCTCACGAGTCTGGGACGGATCCGTGTTACCGTAAAGTCAAGTAAATAGAAAGTGAAACTAAACCGGACAAGTTTGAAATGCGTCTTTATACTGGTGATTACGGTCAGTCAGAGTCGTGCTCACGCAGATGCTCTAAGGTGAAGTCCACTGATGGACAATGAAGCCATAATAAACATGTGCTGACCTTGTTTTTCCTAGTTTTGGTCAGATTTTATTTCCTATCTTCCTGATTTGCTCTTCGGGGGTCAGACACATTCTGAAACAGGTCTAGTGTTGGTCTTCCCATTTTACCTAACTTCCAATAAACTTCACCCCATTTTTTTTAAACTGAGGTTTTGATGGGAACATATAGGCCTTATATTTTTGAAGACCTGTTTGCTTTTTATGTGACAGTTGTAGGTTTGAAAAAGTAGACAACATTTTAGAGACTTTTATTAATTCATTTATTGGAGCATACAAAAGAAACATGTGCAAAGAAAAAAAATACCCTATCACAACATGGTAACATGGCAGGAACATGGCTAACACTTGTATTAATGATGTAAAGACACATTGTACTTTATTTAAGGCACATTTGCAGAACACCTCAATTTTGCATTTTCCTTTAAATGAGCAGTTTAATAAACAAAATAGATCTAGAGTCCCAGTGCATCTTTCTGAACAGTGCACCCCAGAAGAGCATTGGCGGCTTCCACACACTCACTCAGGCCTTGAGCTAGAGAAAAACAGACAGAAACTCAATGATAAACATTTAGTTCATTAAATAATGTATTATTTATGTACAGAAAGGCTGCACAATTTTGAAAAATATATATATATATTTAATTCAGGATTCAGTCCAGAGTGTGTTGAACCACATGATAGATTCAACACTGTCACCACCATGATCAGGGATGTGATTGGCCAAGGAGAAAAAAGCAGGAAAATATATAGACCCATAGTGTGGCGACGCGACAATAACGCATGCGGCAACAGTGCAGCCATTACACACGGTGTAATCACCTCATTTTGACACTTGAAAATGAAAAATGTTAATATGCAAACATTTAGTGGCAACTCAGAAATTTCATCATTGGAAAACAGTTAATTTGAGGAGAAAAAAAACTCAAATACATGCCAAACAATAGGTGCTGACATTTAAGGAAAAATCAAACAACCAAAGAACAGTGTGCAAAGAACAGAGAAAGAGAGAGAGAGAAAGATAGGGAGAGAGAGAGAGAGAGAGAGAGAGAGAGAAAGAGAGAAAGATGTTGCTGTGTTGGACAAAATTGCACTTGCTATGACAAAATGCAGTCTATTTCTGAGCCAGTTTAAGATATAATAAAGTAAATTATAATACAATTATTATGACAGTCCTTACAGTTTTGAATCACTCTACACAAAGTGCAGTGCACATGGACCAGTTCAATGACAGTGTTATTATGCAGCATGTCTGATAATGTGCTATAAATTCTAGATAAACGTGAACTATTAATATTAGTGCTGTCATGCGATTAAAAAAATTGAGAGATTAATTAATTATGATCTGTAATTAATTAATCTAATTAATCTCATTTTAATCTTACCTAAAAAATTGCTGAGAAAAGCCTTCAATTTGAGGTATTTTAATTTAAATTCATTATTACATTATTGTGGCAGATCAAAAGACTGATATAGATTTAAAAAAGTGACTTTATAAAGTCATTTATTGTTTAACAAATCTCTCCAAATTGGCTGTTGAGCCCAAGTCTCCATGAATAAGAAACTGTTTGCTGTAAAGTAGCAAAGACGAGGAAATCTGAACATAAAAACCTTTGTCTACTTAAAGACAATAAAAAGTCCAGTCTTTCCTTAACCATATTAAAAATATTATTGATAGAGAAATGCTTTATATATGAGATCACTGGTTTTAGTCCTGGTTTAGACCTGGTTTAGACCTGCTTTAGTCCTACTTTAGTCCTACTTTAGTCCTGGAATGGATTAATTCTGGTTTTAGTCCTGGTGTTAGTTCTGGTTTAGTCCTGGTTTAGACCTGGTTTTAGTTCTGGTTTTAGTTCTGGTTTAGTCTTGGTTTAGTCCTGGTTTAGTCCTGGTTTAGTCCTGGTTTAGACCTGGTTTAGACCTGGTTTAGACCTGGTTTTAGTTCTGGTTTTAGTCCTGGTTTAGACCTGGTTTAGACCTGGTTTTAGTTCTGGTTTAGACCTGGTTTAGACCTGGTTTTAGTTCTGGTTTTAGTTCTGGTTTAGACCTGGTTTAGACCTGGTTTAGACCTGGTTTAGATCTGGTTTAGATCTGGTTTAGATCTGGTTTAGACCTGGTTTTAGTTCTGGTTTTAGTTCTGGTTTAGTCCTGGTTCAATCCTGGTTTAGACCTGGTTTAGTCCTGGTTTAGACCTGGTTTAGACCTGGTTTAGACCTGGTTTTAGTTCTGGTTTTAGTTCTGGTTTAGTCCTGGTTTAGTCCTGGTTTAGACCTGGTTTAGTCCTGGTTTAGACCTGGTTTAGACCTGGTTTTAGTTCTGGTTTTAGTCCTGGTTTAGACCTGGTTTAGACCTGGTTTAGACCTGGTTTTAGTTCTGGTTTAGACCTGGTTTAGTCCTGATTTAGACCTGGTTTAGATCTGGTTTAGATCTGGTTTAGACCTGGTTTTAGTTCTGGTTTTAGTTCTGGTTTAGTCCTGGTTTAGTCCTGGTTTAGACCTGGTTTAGTCCTGGTTTAGACCTGGTTTAGACCTGGTTTTAGTTCTGGTTTAGTCCTGGTTTAGACCTGGTTTAGTCCTGGTTTAGACCTGGTTTAGACCTGGTTTAGACCTGGTTTAGACCTGGTTTTAGACCTGGTTTTAGTTCTGGTTTTAGTCCTGGTTTAGACCTGGTTTAGACCTGGTTTAGACCTGGTTTAGTTCTGGTTTAGACCTGGTTTTAGTTCTGGTTTTGTTTGGTTTAGACCTGGTTTAGACCTGGTTTAGTCCTGGTTTAGACCTGGTTTTAGGTTTAGACTGTTTTAGTTGGTTTTAGTTGGTTTTAGTTCTGGTTTAGTCCTGGTTTAGTCCTGGTTTAGACTGGTTTAGACCTGGTTTAGACCTGGTTTTAGTTCTGGTTTTAGTTCTGGTTTAGTCCTGGTTTAGTCCTGGTTTAGTCCTGGTTTAGACCTGGTTTAGTCCTGGTTTTAGACCTGGTTTAGACCTGGTTTTAGTTTCTGGTTTAGTCCTGGTTTAGACCTGGTTTAGAACCTGGTTTAGACCTGGTTTTAGTTTCTGGTTTTAGTTCTGGTTTAGACCTGGTTTTAGTCCTGGTTTATTTAGACCTGGTTTAGATCTGGTTTAGATCTGGTTTAGACCTGGTTTTAGTTCTGGTTTTAGTTCTGGTTTAGTCCTGGTTTAGTCCTGGTTTAGACCTGGTTTAGTCCTGGTTTAGACCTGGTTTAGTTTTTAGACCTGGTTTAGTTCTGGTTTTAGTCCTGGTTTAGTCCTGGTTTAGACCTGGTTTAGTCCTGGTTTAGACCTGGTTTAGACCTGGTTTTAGTTCTGGTTTTAGTCCTGGTTTAGACCTGGTTTAGACCTGGTTTAGACCTGGTTTTAGTTCTGGTTTTAGTTCTGGTTTAGACCTGGTTTAGTCCTGGTTTAGACCTGGTTTAGATCTGGTTTAGACCTGGTTTTAGTTCTGGTTTTAGTTCTGGTTTAGTCCTGGTTTAGTCCTGGTTTAGACCTGGTTTAGTCCTGGTTTAGACCTGGTTTTAGTTCTGGTTTTAGTTCTGGTTTAGACCTGGTTTAGACCTGGTTTTAGTTCTGGTTTTAGTTCTGGTTTAGTCCTGGTTTAGTCCTGGTTTAGACCTGGTTTAGACCTGGTTTTAGTTCTGGTTTTAGTTCTGGTTTAGTCCTGGACTGGTTTAGTCCTGGTTTAGTCCTGGACTGGATTAGTCCTGGTTTTAGTCTTGGTGTTAGTTCTGGTTTAGAGGCGCACAGGAGGAAGCTCGGTTTACGCAGCGTACGCGAGAAAACACGATCCACACGCGGCTCACGGGAGCACGTCGGTGTCCGCGCAGTAACTACGGAAAGAAACGTGGTCCGCGCGTTCTCAGGTTAATGACGATGATGAAGGTGTGTGTTTGTGTTTGTGTGTGTTTGTGTGTGTTTGTGTGTGTTTGTGTGTGTGTGTGTTTGTGTGTGTTTTGTGTGTGTTTGTGTGCGTGTGTTTGTGTGTGTTTGTGTGCGTGTTCCCTCATGTGGCAGGTCACTATAGGACAGTAGTGCAGACATCATGAGCCTATGCAGGTTGTTTTCACCAGTGACATTTAAGTTGTAGGCGATATTATATTTGTTATTTTCTTTTATATTTCACGTCGGGAGAATAATTTCCAAGACACGAATGTGTTTTTACCTGTGCACTGCTGCTTCTGTTCTACTGGCTCTTCGACCTCGTCCACTGTGCGACTGACGGCGCCAACGTTAACATGACGTTTACATCGCTGTTACTGCGTGCGTTTTGTGTGGGTTTCCGGCAATGAGTGGAATTACCGAAATAAAAAAATGTATAAATGTGTTTTTTTTGTGTGTGTGTGTGTGTGTTGTTGTCCCAACAACACATAAAAACAGGTTTTATTATAAAGCAACTCGCATACAGAAACAGTAAAGTTAGAGATTAAAAATGAGATTAACGCGATTAAAAAACATAACGCGCTAAATATGACTGTAATTAATTAATCGCAATTAACGCGATAATTTGACACCCCTAATTAATATTATAGTCATCATCATGGATGTTGCTCTTGTTATTGTGTAGTTATTATGTATACTAATATGTTTTTATTGTGCCTACACAACACTCTGCAATAAGCAATATAAAGAGAGTGGGAGTGTGGCTGTTCGTGGATTTCCTCACAGGTGTGGTTTGGCTAATCATCTCTACCAACTCACCAACTCAACTAGTGAAACAGCCTGAGACCACCACACTCAACTGTTATTATGACTGTATGCACTTAACATACTGCAATACCAGCTCTTCTACAAACACTCTGACCACTGTCACCCTCCCGACGTGCAACACTTTTGGGACTATAAAGCGCACCGGATTATAAAGCGCTGTATCAAAGAACGGGTCTATTTTCATACATAAGGCGCATTATAAAGCACATTAAGCAGAAGTGCGCGTCCCAGAAGAAACAGCGATCGAGATGCCGGACTTTTTCGCCGTATACGGACCGAACCAGGAGGACTAAATCGGGACTAATCTTGGAGTTGAGACCACGCTCCGCGGAGGAGGGTGTGCGCGGAGCGTGATTGGGCCCCGTGGCGCGCGGAGCTCTGCGCAGTTTGAAATCTGTTTAGTAAACATGTCTCTTAAAAGGTGCCATTTTGGGGTCCTTATCGGTCCTTATGCACACATTACTCCTCGTGGAGTAATATGTACTGGTAACGGTAATGTTCCGACAATCCATGAAGCGATGTTGTTTCGTATCTTACCAAAGCTGCACTAAAACATTTTGACAGCGCTGTGTACCACATAACATCCATTCGAGGTCAGTAACTGTAACTGAATTTATTAAGAAATTACCGTTCTGTGAGCGCAGCCACGTCACAGCCTTCATGACCAACAGCTCCCACTCGTCCTTAGCATCAGCTTTCAGACCATGAAGCCAGACCAGAGCCAAAATGGTGGCCCACACTTCTTTCTTTGCCTAAATAACCGACACAAAGCAAATTCAGCTGAGTGAAAAAGAGCACCAGCGAGTACCAGATATATTTTGGTACCATTTTATAATAACTACATCTTAATTGGCTAAAATAAAGCATACACAATGGCTTAAATAATGAACAAATAGTTAATTAAGAATGATTCAGGCTTAGTAAATACTTGAGGGGTTATAAGATAGGGTCAGGGTAATAACTATTACCTACCAAATCGGAATCATTCTTAATTAACTATTTGTTCATTGTGAATTAAGTCTTTGTTCGTGCTTTGTCAAGACACTTTAAGTGTTAACGATATTTTTAAATGAAATATTTATGAAGCATAATATATACATGATTACACTTTACATTACTAATTATTTTCTGATTTTCTAAAATGAATGTGTAAAAATGACATTGTTTCACACACTGATACCTCCCTGAATCACTTTCTGAATGACAAAGTAAACTAAAGTGTAAAAAAATATATTTTACATTAATTGAATTATTTTGAGGGATAGATTAGATGGAAATGACTTATTTTTTCTTCTAAGAGAGTTATTTTTTTTTAAATCTTATAATTATATTGATTAACCTAACAATCTTGACCTCCATACTCACCATTGCAGGCAGTTTGCTCTCCAGGTCTTGGCTGGTCTTGCTCAGGGCTTGGGCCAGAGCTGGTTCTAACTCCCAGCAGCCTGAAGCCTTCTGCAGGGACACCACCTGCAGCAGAGGGTCCCGCTGCACTTTGGGTGAGGGAGGCAAGTCAAACCCTTCATCTTGAACCAACACCTCACAAAAATCTATGTCTTCACACATACTTAAAGCCACTAGAAAACACAAAAGAGCACAATTTAGATACTTCTGCTGCGTTCACATCTGCACACAAACCACGAGACTAAACCAAACCCAGAAACAAATTTGGACTTATAGAGACTGTAGTCCTGTAGTCGCTTAATCAATTGACTTTGATTTTTTTTAGCTGACTAAAGTTTTTATTGGTTGATCATTATTTTATTCATATTTCAAGTATTTATGAGACAACAGCAGAATGGAGAAGAGGTTTAGTTGAAAATTTGGAAGTGAATCATGGTCATGAGTTTAATCTGCATTGTCATATCCTCCTGACTACCAGAGAAAAAATGTATTCCAATTTAATTTTTTTTTAGCTTCCCCAGTTATTTAGAAGACAGTGACTATACTGAAAACTTTTTTTTTCTTTTTCAAGTTTTTATTTGAAAAATACAGCATGTCCACTATAGCGGACATCAGAACTTTATTGATGTACAAATTTAACAACTTCCATAGAATTCAATTCCATAGAGAGTAACTGAACTCAGGATTTATGTCCCTCAACAACCTCAATACAGATGTGTAGTGCATTTATTTTGGAACATTGCACTTTGAACGTTTTCTGGTTTACTTTGTGTGATATTTGAGGAAGCAATTCCCCTTTTTTGAAACACACAGAAAGACTTGGCACTTAGTGCATATCACATAGGTTTTGCTGTTACAGCCAGATCTACGACACCTTGATGCATGTGGTTCATCCACCATTTTTGCAAGATGTAGCGCTCCATAGTGTCTTTGAAGCCCAATACATTTGAATGTTTGGATAACCTTAACAGGCTATGTAAATGGAGCACCCAAAGAAAGTCTTCAACTCTCCAGGGGTAGTGTTTAGTGATGTTCCAGAATGAAGGACTTCACGTTGGTTTGTGCACATAGCCATTTTTTCAAACACAGAGTCATCAATGTACTGTTCAAAATAACAAAGTGGGGTCCAGTTTTGGCATGTTGTGGCATCACTGCTTAGAATAATTGGAAGATCATCCAGTTGGGGGTTAAATCTTAAGGAAAACAATAAAAAATGTCAGTTTTTTCTTTTTAAAGGTGAAAGATTGTTATAGTAAACTATTACAAAATTGAATTATTCTGAATAGTTTTTTTTTTGCAAAATGATTTGAATGAACTAAATATATAAAATACATTGTAAAATACATAATACTAAGAGAGTACAAGATCAAGATGTACACTGTAGTCTTGCTCCAGAGCAGACAGCGACTGGACACTGACTCTTCTTCCTCAACCTCATCCTCATCCTCAGAGCTCTCTGATTCCTCAGCCTCTCCCTCAAACAATGGATCCTGGTCATCATCATCAGACAACTCAATATATGAGTTTTCTACCACAATTTGTAGTAATATTTTCTCTGCCTCTGACCTTGAACCAATTCCTTCAAATTGGAAAAAAATAAATAAATGACTCCAAATGTCCACTTCGGAGGACATTTGTTAAACACTCAAATTTCATTGTAAAATATTGTTACTTTACTTTAAAAATGGTTTTAATGTGTTCATTAGACATTCATAAAAATATAACAATGCAACTTTGATCCAAAATTTGCTTAATAAAAAAGGTATACCACTTACTGTTCTTTTTTCCATAAAATGTGGTTGTATTGATGGCAGCCATTTTCCTTGAAAAGGAGGAGGGTCTTTTCAAAGCTCCACCCTTATAAATTTGGTATCATTTGAAAGCTCTGAATATCCTCTTTAAATCACAGAGTTGGTTAGGTAATGCGCAGGGGGTTGGAAATATTTTAGTAAAGAAATGTCCACTAGAGAGGACAAAAATGAACTATGGGTAGTCAGGAGGATATAAATACAGTTTCCTGGTATTTTTCTGTTCAAATATTTGTTTTTGTCGTCTTGGTTGACATCTTTTCTCCACTACTGCACTTAAGGAAGTCGACAGGAGGAGACAAAGAGGTCTGTTGTTCCGGGCCCCAGGGTCTTAGGAGTCCAGAATTTTACCCTCTTCCTATTTATTTATATTAAAGTGGAGGTGTCTTGCCCCAGGGCCCCAGATTTCTGTTGACGGGCCTGACTGTATTACTTGGACTAGACCAGGACCAAACCAACCAGGGGTGTAGCATGAAATTCTGTGTGATTCTCTGTATTGGGCAATTATGATTTCAAAATTCCAGAGATCAAAACACTTTCATCTCCAAGGCTTCACACAATGTATCTTGCACATACTTACTTGGTGGAGCTGCGAAGCCACTAGATCCCACCACTGGAAGCGCTAAAGAAGTAACAAAAAAGCAGAGATAATTATAAGAACAAAAAGCCTTCACCCCTCGTTGCGTCTGTGGGGTACATGCCCCCATGAACATCTTGCCTCTCTTCTCCACCTACATCACCCCTCCCCCAGTGTCAGTGTAAATATGATCTCATCTTTCAGCTCAGGTTTATTAAACACATTTTTGACCACTGTTTTCTCCTATAATCTCCTGAAACACACTAGACTGATGTGCCTTTGACAGACTTTTGCCCTTCAGACACAACACTTGTTACAAAAAGACAAACAAAGTAAAATGTTCAGAAGGCAATAGAGAGACATTTTCTTAGATAGCGGCTTGATTTGCACATCATTGTTATAAAAACTTAAAAGTCGCAAAATGACTTACCATCAAAAGATCCAGGAGATCCACTACCTGGGGAAGAAGCAACAGAATATTACCTTATAAAAACCTTTGTTCATATTCAGATACTTACTCCTCTTTTTGCGACCAAATTTTGGGAGGCTGAACCCTTTTTTTTGTTTGTTTTGAGCACCTGACACAAATGTTGAAACAAAACATTAGCCAAATTGCTAATTTGAACTGACTGCACCTGTACTGTTGAACATGTTTCAGTGGACAGCCCATATACATGTACTGCTTACATTACATGACTTCATTGTCAGTATTTGATTGTACTTACAAGCCATCATTGGCATCATATCAGGACAAGACATCCGGGCGAAGGGCATGGGTGCACTACAACCCATCATCACTGTGGGGGAGATTAATACAGGATTATGTACAGGTCAACAGAAACTAAAATAAATACATTTTCGAGATTGTAATCATTGCAAATCAGAGTTCATGTTTGTCTGTCTTTACAGTTATAGTTTTGAGTATTGAGTATCGCCGGGTTACATGCACTGGCATCATGTTCATGTTAATTTTTTTTTTTTCAGTGAGGAAAATGTTGCTTAGTTTTGGGACTTGCTTGGTAAAGGGACATCTCTTCTCAGCAGAGGGCCTTGAATGGCTTCTCCGCTGGTTTTGTTCACGGCGATGAAGGCAGTGAAGGAGCTGCTGACTCCTGATTGGACGCTCAGATCAATGATTTTCTTCTTCACAGTGTCGTCTTTCTGTCCTCTAGCGCCCTCTTGCTCCTGCTCCAGAGATCGAATGAGAGAGCGTGCTGCCAGCCTGTGCACTGTGAGTCTGCACATAAACAGGAAACAGAAAACTACATTAAACAGACAAGTGCTGAGGTTAATGGTGAACTTATTAATCCTCCATAGAGGAAGTTCATTCTCTACATTTGACCAGTGCTTCAGTGCTGCTGTGGCACCCTGTCAGGAGTAGTGGGCAGCTGCCGTGCAGAGGTCAGGGACCCATCTCCAGATCTTGGTTTGGTTAGGACCACCTAGCTGGAGGATTTTGTCTAATGTGCATGTTCTGGATTAAGTTGTTTACAGTATTTATTACTATTTAATGGGTGGTTCATGTAATTCATGCGAGTCTAATAACATTTTTAAAAATTTAAATCAATTTCTCATATCCTAAATTGAGGTACAATCTTCACTGTGGCAGCAGATGCTTGTCAGACATTCTCTGTTGGCATTCAGAGGTGGCTGGTGGTATAGTTTTTTGGGGGGGCACATAGGCCAAAATTATAAATATATGTCTTATATATAGGTTATATAATACTATAATGAATGCCAGAAACAGACAGTCATTTTGGTCACTATTGGCTGAACTAAATCCATCAGAGCACAACGCACAGCCAAGCGCAAACTTTACGCAGCAGTACAACCTGATCCACATCTCACAACCAGCCCCAACAACACAACGTAACACACGACTCACAACCAGCCCCAACAAACAGCACTAACAACACAACCTGATCCACCGCTCACACTCAACTCCAAAAACATCAGCAAAACTACAATAAGAGGTTACAGTCACAAGACAAACACACGGCATCAGCGCCGCTCCTACAGCGCACAGCAAAACAACCGGAGCAGCTCCATCGCACCCATGGGCTCATATACGCATTATTTAACTATTAACACTATAACACTATTTACCTGTGAGGCTCCGTCCTCAGATTTGCCCATAACTAACAAAAACAAGCCTCTGATGCAGAGTGTATTCTCTACCCACTGTCCTGTTGGTTGTCTCCAAGATGAAGAGATCAAACTGGTCCAAGTCCCGGTCCAGTCAGGTCCACGACACAAGGTCCAGGAGCCGAGTGCATGAACTGGTTGTAAAACTAGTCTTAATCTCACTTCCCACTTAAACCTGAAAATGACACCAGTCCATATTAGCACTAGGGCACCAGGTAGACTTATGCCCTCTGCGAGTTATGCCTTGAAACTTTTTACGCCCAACAAATAAGCAGGCATAAGCCAACAGAGCAGCGAGCGACTGCCCCAGGTACCAGCGGGTCTGAGTCTGTGTGTCCGCTGCTTTCGGTCTCTCCTCACACTCTCCTATGTGGAGGTTCAGGCCAAAGTAAGTAGCCGCCTTTTGCCTGTGTTTGAATCAGAATAAGAGCCATAGGATTTCACCACAGCCAGATGCACTCATTTCAGCTTAATGCTTCTTTTCTTGCTTGGCAAAAAGGGTCCCGCTGAAGAGAAAACATATTACTCCCTAAAAACTGTTCCTCGGATGCACTTTGATTTGAAGTTGAACTCGCCATAGCTGTATAGTACAAAGCTTTTGCTTGTGCACATAAATCAGATGTCAGAGAAGAAAAAAAATAAAATAAATAACAAATAACATAATGATAAAAAATAATACAATGTGACCATCTTCCCTTTCCCTAATCTTTTTAAAGTTCTCCCCAACAAGGACCTCTATTTGAGTGAGGCGTGTTTGGAACGCACCGACCTTTTCGTGTAGGGAGTCCACAGACACCTGGACAGGTTTAATAAGGCCCTGTATCAGTATGACCATTGTGTCTTGGTGTTTCGCTAATACAGCCATGAGTGATGACATGGAGAAGCTATCTTCCCCGGCAGTTTGAGATGCTACCTCTTCATTAGCATGAGAGCCGTGATCTGCATCTGGTGTTGCCATGTTAGCTGCCATGGCTGCTCTCGCTATAGTAACTGCTGTCGTTACAGTAGCGCCAGAGGTTTTTTTTTTGTTTTATGTAGCTCACAGCATCCTCCAGCTTGTGAAAAAGCACATCAGCATGTGCAAGTTATCTTCAAAGATTAAGAAAATTCCACATGAGATTCATCGTGTGTCATCTACATCATGTGCGGAAGCCTCACGTGCAGAAGCCCAACTACTGCTACTGTCAAATTTTCTCAAAACTTCAGGCTCTCCCATAGACCTCCATTAAGTCGCAATCAAATGCCAAGCACATGACTCAAATAAAGTGATGTGAGCACATTTAACATGATAAAATATGTCAATGCAGATACACGTTCAATTTTACACAAAATATTAAACATGCAGCCTAATACAAAATAACCACGAAACATTATATATATATACAGTCCTTGACAAAAGTCTTGTCGCTTATCCATTTTGTAGAAACAAAAGTTTATAACCTGACTATAAATGAATCGATTGGTTTTAGAAATGTCTCATATGAAAGCTAAAACCCTCCCAAATTATGCTCAATATACTAAAATAAATTTGCTTCACTGAAAAAAGATTGATCATTTAATGAACACAAAAGGTCAGATTTTGGCAAGACAAAAGTCTTGTCGCCTACAGAAAATTGAACAAATAATTTACTTAAAATACAAAAATATGTTGCATAACGTCAGTGAATTAAGTAGTGGTGCCGTGAGATCCATATTTAATATCTTGTATGACTTCCATGAGCTTGAAGGACTGCATCCATGTGATTCAACAATGATTCATACAATTTGTTGATGAAGTCATCAGGAATAGCAAAGAAAGCGTCTTACATGCCTCCCAGAGTTCATCAAGATTCTTTGGTTTTGCCTTCCATGCTTCCTCTTTCATTCTACCCCAGACATGCTCAATGATGTTCATGTCTGGTGACTGGGCTGGCCAGTCCTGGAGCACCTTGATCTTCTTCACCTTGACAAACTTTGATGTAGAGATAGAAGTATGCGATGGAGCACCATTCTGCTGCAAAATTTGACCCCTTTTATGGTTGGGGATGTAAGAGGAGCTAATACTTCTTGATATTTTAGGTTATTGATATTGCCTTCCACCCTGCAAATGTCTCACACACCCACATACTGGATGGAACCCCAGACCATGATTTTTCCGCCACCAAACTTAACTGTTTTCTGGGTGAATCTTGGATCCATGAGGGCTCCAGTAGGTCTCCTGCAATATTTGCGGCAGCTGTGATGTAATTCAACCGAGGATTCATCTGAGAAATCCACCTTCTGCCACTTTTCCAGTGTCCATCCTTTTAGCAGGCTGTGGGCCTTGGCAAATGCCACACGTTTTTTTAATTGCCTTTTGTTTAGTGCTGGTTTCTGCGCACTGATTCGACCATGGAGGCCATTTCGAGACAGAATTCTACAAACTGTTCAGGTTGACACAGGGACTTGAGGTGACCAGGCCTGGTGGAGTCTGCTGCAGTGGAAAAGGGGCTGGCCTTGGATTTTCGAATCAACAAACTGTCCTCCCGAGCAGTTGTCTTGCGGGGTCTGCCGGACCTGGGCTTGTCAAAAACATCTCCAGTCATTTCAGATCTTTTTCTTATTCTTTGTACTTGACGCTGAGACACATTGAAGGTGTCAGCCACCTCAGCAGTGGATCTGGTCTTCAGCCTCTTGATAATTAACGCTTTGGTCTCAGGGTGGATCTTAGGCATGTTGTCAGAGGTCAAGTTGCAGTTGATGTGAAGGTCTGGTGTGCTGAGGTTCTTTTTATACACACCCACTAATTGATTGATCAGTAACTGATCACAGGTGAGGCTGTAATCTAGGATTGGGTGCATCATATGACAAGGCGACAAGACTTTTGTCTTGCCAAAATCGGACCTTTCTGTGTTCATTAAATGATCAATCTTTCTTCAGTGAAGTAAATTTATTTTAGTATATTGAGCATAATTTGGGAGGTTTTTAGCTTTCATATGTGACATTTCTAAAACCAATCGATTAATTTAAAGTCAGGTTATAAGCTTTTGTTTCTACAAAATGAATAAGCGACAAGACTTTTGTCAGCGACTGTAATATATATATATATATATATATATATATATATATATATATATATATGTGTGTGTGTGTGTGTGTGTGTACACACACATATGGGAGAGGGAGGCATCACATAACACCGATGCACAGTGGCTGGTGGATCTGAGAGAAGACCACAGCAACCTCCCTGAACAGAATCCAGTCACCATCACAGTGGCAGACATCCAGGAAAGAGTCTCAGGTACGAAAAACTGGACCGCACCAGGCCCTGACATGATCCATGCATACTGGCTAAAGAAGCTCACTGCTCTCCACGAGCGCCTGGCAGGACAAATGAACCAGCTGCTAAGGGATGGGACTCACCCTGAATGGTTAACCCAAGGGCGTACGATCCTGATCCTAAAGGATCCCTCAAAGGGTGCAGTCCCATCCAACTATCGGCCAATAACCTGTCTCTCCACAACATGGAAGCTCATGTCTTGCGGCTAAGATAAGTGGGCACATGGATCAATACATGAGCGCAGCACAGAAGGGCATCGGCAAAAACACCAGGGAAGCCAAGCACCAACTCCTGGTTGACCGAACAGTCGCCCGACTGGTTGACAGATACTGCGCAGAACTCTCAAGCTCCCAGGCCTCTGGTAGAGGACCCGAGCTGAATGAGGGTGAGCGAGATCTACCACCGTGGAAGGTGAGAAACACACATTTTATATATATATATATATATATATATATATATATATATATATATATATATATATATAATATCTCACACACACACCACACAGCGATAGATAGATAAGAGGCCAGCCGCCACTGGCGTTAAGACAAAAATATAAAAGTGTAGTGTTTTGATTAAATGAAACTACACAATGTACAGAGTGGTTTTAAAAGTTGTTTAACAATGGGCTTTGCTGTGTTTGAACATATAACAATCTCTCTCGTGTTATATGTTATATAGTCCATCTCCAGCACTGCCAACTGTTCATGTTGAATTACCTTTAGACACACAGTGTGTTCACACTCACCCTGTGTCCTCCGCTGGTTTGAGGCTGAAGTTGAGCTTGTTCTCGGTGGGACGTCCTGCCAGGCTGTACTTGACAGTCACACAGCCCTCTGCTCCCTCTTTGCTCTAAAATACACCACAGCTTTTGGCCATTGCTCTAAACAGAGATGTACTGCCCCCTACAGCCCACAGTGAGCACCTGTCCAGTGAGTTGGGCGTACAGCAGTGACCGTTGTCCCTGGAAAATGGATGTGAGAGGTGGGGACAGCACAGAGGCAGACACCCCTTTGGGCAGGTCCCATTTCACAGAGATGTCCACCACTGCTGGCTGCATGGCGAAGCGCAAAGACTGGATCACCTGGAGAGGACACAGGGATTATAGAAGTTATCTGATCCATTTTAGGGTAGTAAATAATAACAACACATTAATCATATTAATCGTACATAGAACTTTTCCAAACATCCCTTTACAACTGTGTATTTTTCATTCACTCCCAGTGCTCATTGGTGATAAGATTTTCTGCAGTCACAGCTGCCCTGGGCCAGCCTGATGGAACTGTGGTAACCAATCTGCACCTACGGCCCCGATCACCAACACTCACAACACAAAAATATGGATGAAGTGTCTTGCAAAAAGACATATCAACAGTGTGCACTAGTCAGAGCTGGCATCAAAATAATGCAACGCAACAATAATAAATAACAATACTAAAAATCTGTCACAGTCACTGGTGGTGAACATCTTGAGTAAGCAGCAATCTCTATGAATCACAATTGTGATGTGTTACTTTGGGTTGCATCCTGTCATTTCCAGTGATGAACTGGGCGTGTCCTCCTCCTTCTTTGGCCAAACCCTTGATAAGAGCAGAACTGGCTCCTTCTCCAATCCCAAAAGAAAAACACCTGAGACATAAAGAGGTTTGATTCACACAATAAACAGGACACAAGTTCAGTCAATGCTGTATTTTACCTGTGAGAGCCTGCATTAGACTTGACCAGGTTGATAACTTCTTTGGTGTTTCCTACTTCTCCATCAGTGAAGACAAACAGCTACAGAGCACAGTTCAGACAGTTTTACATTCCATGCAGCAGTGACAGAGAAGACAGTAAATATCTCAGAAATAAGTCAAGTACAGGCCCTTTAAACTTTGTATTATATGTGAAGGGGCCCCGAAATTACACTTGCACAAAAAAGAAATTGGGACTAAATAGCACTAAACCTGAAATTAATACTTGGCGAGACGAGGACTTAAACAGGGCTACAACAGGGCTAAATCACAAAGTACATCAGGACCATCAAACTTAAATGCACTCTGAAATAAGTCAAATCTACCCTTTACCTCTGCACCACATCCAAATTGGGAATAAACCCGTCTTTAAACCTGGACTAGACCTGGACCACTGCAGGCTAATCTGAACAGACACACAGATCATCTAAATGTACCTGTCTGGGCTGGTTGGGGATGCAGCCCTGACTGTAAATGCGTTTTAGAGGAGCCAGAATCTCAGTTCCTCCCAGGTTAGCCTCCATCTTTTCCACCTTTTTCAGAGCCTCCTCCATTGTCTTTTGGCTGTACTCCACACTCTCCCTGTAAAAAAAGACACAGCCAAAGCATCTTTAGATGTGTGTCTCGGGGATTTAGGCAGAGATTGCAATACTATGATTTGTAAAAATTATTTACGAAAAGACTTGTTCAAATGTGGATCCAAAACTGTAGATGTTAAAGTAGCAGCCCATGGGTAAGCTCTTGAGCAGCAGCAGCAGAGTGTCCTGAGAACATAAAACTATAGTGAGAGAAAAGCTCAAACTATAACAGTTTGCTCTTGTATACAGCCTATGTACGCACTGCATACCCGTGCACTGGCAATCCGACTCCCTGACTCTCCTCTGTGGCCCATAGAACAGTCCATACTTCCAGATCGATCCAATAGAAACACAAACTCTCCAGAGGAAGACACAGACGACATATTGTCTTTGGGGAACTCCGGATACAGACTCAGCATCAGGGCTGGGTCTCCCATCAGAGAGCCTGAAAACAACAGGCAGCTGTTACTATATTTGTCCATTAATTCACACTGTCAAAGTGTGAGTGGTGAATACACACAAATTAAAACACTGCTTTCCTCACAGTTTCACAGTTAAAGTAGATGAGGTGTATTACAAAGTGTCTGAATATGTGAACAAAGAACAGATGGAGATAGAGAAAGCACATTCTAAAGCAGACAGTAATTTAAACTAACTCACAAAAGTCTGTACTGCAAATGTGAATTGAACTGATGAATTAGTATTTACAGCAGTCTATGCAAACAGACTGGTAATAAGTGTTATAAACTTTGACACTTTCATAGACCAACTGTAGCCATTATAAAACTATAAAAATTTACTTGTTGGAGAATCACTGTTCTACCACTTCACATCACAGCTCTTTACACATGAAGAAATGAACAAGCAAAGCCAGAAATTAAAACATCTATCAGATTTGACTGCAAATCATTTTTTTACCCCTAGATGGCAGTAGACCACACAGAGTATCATGTGCTCACCAGGTTTGGCTGAGGCCTGTCCTGCCTCCACCACAGCTGAGGGCTGGTGACTGTCTTTGTAATAAATGAGCAGCTCCACGTCTCGGTCAAACTTGTGTCCTGCTGCCAGTTTCACCTACCGACAAACAAAATGTAATGTGGTTTAAATGAAGTGGTATATACATTATATGAAATGTAGGGTTGTAATTATGTAATTAATCAAATTATAATTGTGATTTCAGTTAATATTACATTCAATTACAAAAATTTTGCTTATGTGCCACTCAAAACCAGGAGCATAAAACATATTATATATAATATATATATTTAAAAAAATGTGTTTCTCACCTTCCACGATGGTAGGTCTCTCTCACCCTCATTCAGCTCGGGTCCTCTACCAGAGGCCTGGGAGCTTGAGAGTTCTCCGCAGTATCTTTGCTGTTCCCAGTACTGCACTTTTCTGGACTGAGATGTCCATTGTTTTTCCCGGTATCTGTTGAAGCCACTC